GTTTAATTTAAAGCACTGATGAACATTTGATCAATTATGTATTTCACACAATTTTATTTTAAGAAGTATATATTTTTAAGACTCATTACCTGTCAACAGCAATGGCAACCAGAGTGAAAACAGATGCAGAGACAGAAATCCCTTGGACCATGCCGCTCAGTTTGCAGACCAGGCTTCCAAAAGGCCATCCTGTTAAAACAAAATGTTTTTTTTGTTGGTGTCTAAACCCAACTAAAGCTCTACCTAATAGACAACAACAGTGTAGAGCTGAGCTTCCAGTTCAGACATATTTTCCTCCATATGTAACTAAGATACTGGTGAACTTGTGCCAAAGAATAGTGAACGTGTTCCATATAATAGAAAGAACTTTTGAACGTGTGCCATAAGWTATGATACTGGTGAACAGAGGGCATTTGGCATCATAGACCTCAGGTTTTGACCCAAACCAAACTGCACAAACATCTTCCTGCTCACCTGTGATGATGTTGTCAAGAAGAGTGGTGGGCATACAGAAAATGCCCACCAGCAGATCACTGACAGCAAGGTTTAAGATGAACAAGTTGGTAACTGTTCGCATGTTTTTACTCCTCAGGACTATAAAACACACCACTCCGTTTCCCACCATGCACACCAGGAAGATCAGCAGGTAGGACACGATGAAGGTGGCTGCCGTTGCTGGCTGATGCAGGTAATATCCAACATACGTCACATTGTTCCTGGGGATGAAGAGATCCACGGAAGAGTTGTAAGATGTCCAGTTGTCATACAGCAAAGTTAAATTGTTCTCAGGTTCCTCRTTCATTTTAAATCTGTGAAAACAGAACCAAGAAAACCAATCAGATTAGGGCAGCAAGTTATCTGAACTTATGATGTACGATAACAGAGCTTAGTATTATGATGATGATATGACTTAAGATAAATGAACATACACTTACGTATGCAGTGTTAATGYCTTTGGGTTCAGAGCAACAAAACAACAACTGATAAATCATTTCCATTCCAACATGACAGTTTTATTTAAAAGGAGTTCAACTAGACACAGCTAAAGGAAGTTAACCCAACAACATTAAGTAGAGGAGGACATCTCAGAATGGTTTGATGTTTGTCCAAACACTAACCATAGTTCATCAACCTCACTTATGTGACCAAACCATCTCCCATGAAGTCCARGTGGACAAAAAGCCTAACTACCCTTAGGAGGGAGATGAGGGAGAGTGATTTGCAGTGTGAGTTTAGCTCTTTACTGTTGACTGAAAATTTCAGATAAATTCAGAAAACTTCTCTGGGAAAAGAAACCTTCAGAATAAAAGAAGTCTAGCTGTGTTTGATTAGAAGAAACAGATTTTGTGAGGATCCGTCTTCCCTTACATTGTCGTCTTTGTGTTTCCCTGTCCCTGTGTTCTTCTCTAACTCTTTGCTTGCACACCATATATTCTCATCTACCGTATTTTTCGGACTATAAGCCGC